ATAATTATTTATATATCTCTTCGGATATATATATATATATATATATATATATATATATATATATATATATATAAGATACAAGGCCTTTGTCCTTTTCTAACATGACAAAGAAGTTGGACTCATTCTTCCGAGGAATGTTGTTGTTGGGTAGAGAGCTCCTTGTGGACATTATCTTCCGCTTTAATCACACACATATTTATATATATATATATATATATATATTTATATATACATACATACATACATACATATATATATATATATATATATATATATAATGATTTTTGGTGACATTCAAATAATGATCTCATAATCTTTTAATCCTACCACAACAGTAAAATAAAATCCGGAGTAATCATAGGCTTTTATTTAAGAGCCCTTAAAATCTGTAGTCCCCAATTCCCTGTCAACGAGGTATATGTATATTTATTAATATATACTTCTTACTCATATACAGTTGCTAATATCTAATTATTTGGTTTATATCCACACACACACACACACACACACGCGCAAAAATTGCTACACAATTGCAGTCGTGTTTCGATGCATATCAATGCATCTCATCAGGCGATTGTATATTACTGGCGAGTGAACGATTTATTTAGATTTAAAAAAAAATACAACCCCTTTTATGAAAATAAAGGCGGGTGGTTGAGAGCTTTTCTCAGATCAACCAAGTGAATATGACGTACGTTAAATTTAAACTAAGCGAAGAAGAAAAAAATAAGAATATATTTTTCATAAATGGGTCATGACCCGTAGATTGGCAGAATGGGTCATGACTCGTGGATTGACAAGTTCTTTAATAAGAATGCATTATTGAACCAAAGATCCGAGTTAACGGTAAATTGTAAACACAGTCTACCGTTTACCTTACAATTCAGTTGGAATTTGTCAATGTTTTTCTTAGATCTTAGTTGAACTGTGTTGCACCATATATAGCTTATCCTTCTATTGGTAAGATTAATTTGGATTTAATATAATTTTGTATTAATCTTCTGGTAGTGTTCTTAACATTTTGTACTGATGTATTAGTATTTGATTGGTATTTTTGACATTTTGCATTGATTGGTTATTGTTTTTAACATCTTATGTAAAGAATCTTTAGTCAACAGCTGCATATTAATTTACCAAGTAATTCTATACGTTTAAATTATTTACTGGTTTCTTAAAGAAGCTACTTATTTATCAGATATAAAAAAATGATGTAGGAAACTCACAAACTTGTTTAGAGTTTGGTTAAATTACTACTCCACCTCAATTTTTCTAAGGAAATGACATAGTTTAGTGCTGGGGTCACCAAATTCTTTTTTGCATAGGGCCAGATAACTGAGAGAATGGCGAGCGCGGTCCGGATAACCATTTTGTTCAATACACTGAATGCACAAAAAATAATGACAACAAACATACTTATTTAATAAAAAGTTATCTAAGAAAGCGACAATAGCAGTAAAATAGTTATATCACACCAAGTGTGCACATATCTGAATCTCACAAACTAACCAGCACAAAATGTTAGTGAGATTTATGAAACTGGCGTTTACCTTTTAAGATATAATTAATATTTGTTTTTGGTATTGCTGCATCCAACCAAGAGAAATGCTTTCAAATGTTCATCAGTCAACCTTGTTACATGTACTGACTTTACATACTTTAGATTTTATAATAAGTTAAGGCAAAATATATGACATAATTCGCTGAAGTCAGTCCTTTTTATATACAGTACTGTTCAAACCGGTTTAAACACGGCAATGCAAGTTAAAACATAACTGCTGCAGTAGGTTCGTAATCACTTTTCTTAAAAACTTCATTTCAGGCACTTACACAAAAAGCGCTCGGATACCAAAAGTTGCCGAATTTTTTTTATTTTCCTAAAACTTATATTACTGTCAGATACAAAAATCAGAGTGGCTAAATTTTGGCATTTTACTTACATTTATTTTAATTTTATCTACATAGTAATTTTGACTACAATCTATTGATAATTCCATATAAATAATTATATTTTAGCTCATTTGTGGCACAGTGAAGCGGCGGGCCGGAAAGTACTGACGTCGAGGGCCGTAGTTTAGTGAACCCTGGTCTAGTGTGTATAAAATTTATCCATTAACATCCGCTCCTGTTTAACGTCTGTGTTGTCATTGATTGCCAATCTACGGGTCAGGACCCATTTATGAAAAATATAATCTTAATTTTTGCTTCTTCGCTTAATCTAAATTTAACGTAGATTATATTCGATTGGTTGATCTGAGTAAAGCCCACAAACCTTATACCCCCCCACTTTTTTTTTCGTAAAAAGAAGTTGTATTTTGCTTTTAAATCTAAATAAATCGTCCACTCGCCAGTAATATACAATCACCTGATGAGATGCATTGAAACGCACCGAAACATGACTGCAATTGTAATATATATATATATATATATAGCCATCTCTTCTACTCCAACAAAACAAGTAACAGAAATGTCCAGCAAAAAGACCTGATAATGTTTGCAATAAGCAATAGCAAGAGAAAGAAAAGAAAGGAACAGGACCAAAAGAATATAAAGCAAGCAAGCAATATATGCATGACAAATCCCAGAAATATGGCAAAAAGTTCACAAATGCATGCTGGGATGTTTCCTAGCCAACAAAATAGGCCGGTTTGCAATTTCATATAACTCAGTCCCGATCTGTCTTGTCATGAAGTCAGGACGCTACATTCGCTTGTCTGAGCTTTCTTTTGTGTGTCAACATCAGGTGTGAATTTTTTGGCATATTGCCATACGAGAAATGCACTTTTAAGCTTCTTCAGTACCATAATTATTTTATATTCAATGCGAAACAAAAGGCTCATCAAATATTTCAAAATAGAAAAACGTCCCCTCCTGATAAACCCAATGAATTAAAAAAATATATTGTCCTACCAACTAACTATCACATCAACAATTGAAAAGAACTTACCTAAACTCAACATAAAATATGTCACTACTACGTCTAAAACAATAAAAGACTTAGTCAATGTTAAACAAAACAATAAGCTAAAAGGAGAAATTTACTCGATCGCCTGTAATAATTGTCATAAAAATACATAGGAGAAACCTCAAGGAACCTAGATAAAAGATTATAAGAACACAATAAGGACATTTTACAAAACAATACACCAAATGTATTAATTGCTAAACATAACGAGACTGGTCATAACTTTGACATAAAAGATGCTACTCTGATCAAAGGAAAAAATAATTCAATGCGACGAAAATGTTTAGTGCCTTATTCATAAGATCACCCACAGTAAATTTGCGACCGGACTATATTTCACCATTCCTGGCAGATCTTCTAACAGTGTAGGATAGCTAATAACAAAAGTAATGTAAACAAAAAGAAAAAAATGTAAATGAAATCGGCTAGAATAAAATAATTTAACATTCCCAGCATCCATCGGTCGTGCGCATGTGTAGTCGCACCGACGTAACAAATTTAGTCCGATGAAGTCCTAAAAAACGAAACGCGTCACACGAAAACTTTTTCCCACAATGTCATATTTCCCCCACCCCAATATTGTTTCATTTTATATATATGTATATATGCGTGTGTGAGTGTTTAAAATAGGATATAGAAGACTGACAAACCCTTTAAGAAATTTGGCAAATGGAAAACGTTTCATTTAAACTAGATTTGATACGCGTTTTGCCTTCCTAGGCTTCATCAGATCCAAAAACAAAAAGAAATACATTTTTTTTCTTTCGTTTTTTGAATTTGATGAAACCTATATCATATATAAATAAAAAATTTTGTATAATATACATATTTATCATATATGATTATTCCATGGGTACCTAGTATACGTTGTATAATGGTTAGTAAGCCTGTTTGGCTAAGAAGATCAATGACTAGTGAGTTCGTTTATCACTGGGTTCCCCACATTTTTGTGCCACAAGTAAGCTACTTTGAGTAAACTAAACAGCATGGTGGCTGTTAGTTTGACAGCTCAATGTGATCTTCAAACAAAAAACAAATTAATTAATATGATCGCATTGCGTTACTACCATGCAGTGTTGATTCCTATGTCTACAGTACACATTTCCAACACTAATTCCGATATCACTCGTCACCTAGCAAAAAAGTAAAAAAAAAAAAAAAAAAAAAACTCAGTAATGTTACTGTTCGTTTTCTTTGTCTTTTTTGTGTAGGTTCGAATTGATCGGCTGATTTGACCCTGTTCTCGTGTGCTTGCCAACAGAGAAAGCTTTTCATGTGTTTTTGTATCCACCTCGGTTAATATCTGGGTTGTTGCCATCACCACCATCGTTGTTGTAAGGAGGCGAATATCATCACCAGGCGGACTTCTGTCCTGATTTGATAAAAAAAAAAAAGAAAAAAAAAGTAATAAATAAAATTACAAAAAAGAAACACAAAAGAGAGAGAGAGAAAGAAAGATCAGAGTATGATGGGCCAAAAAAAGAAAAAGCAAACAAGTGTGACACGTGCTGTAACCGACTAAAAACCATTTCCCTCTCTCAAGTATATTTAAAAGCTCTTATTGTCGAGTTTTGTTTGCAGTTATAAATATTTATCATGTAGTTCTTAACATCGACACGAGAAGATCCTAGGAAAGAAGTTCCTGTTTGAATTTGTTGGGTTTTATACATAAACTTACGAAAAACATTTTTGTGTTCAAAACAAAAACAAAAAAAAAGGAGAGAAAAGGAAGAAGAATTAAAAACTTAAAGTGAACTTTTTTAGACTGACATTTTTAACTGCGCTTATTTTTACTCCCCCCCTTTTTTGGGGGGCTGTCAAATAACAGACAAAAAAAAGGTAAGATTTTTAGAAAAAAAAAAAAAAAAATTGAACAAGTGACGCCGCAAATAAAAAATAAAAGTAAAACAAACGAACCAAACTTTGAAATTTTAAGGTAAAAAAGAAAATAAAAAACCATAATTTTAAAAAAATCACTTGACAAAAGGAAAATTCGTATTTTTTATTTTGGTCAAACCTTCCTCTTGTAAAAATCAAGATGATGCGTAATCGTCGTCTTCTTCATTTGTTTGGCTCAGTGAAATTCTTGCTGCGACCGTCCGTAAGAAAATGTCATTCCACAGGTGCCAGCCTCACCTTTCCAAAGAATATTCCTCTTCCTTTATATCTTCTTGGCGAAGCTTCCACCTATGGAGATCAGGTTGCTATGGTAAGTAAATAAAAGCAAAAACAATTGTTAAAAAGATTTTAATCATTTTTTTTTTTTTTTAAGTTAAAAATAATTTAAATTTAGACTTGAGAGAGGTTTTTCTCGTCCAAAGGCCGATTTGAAAAAAAATAAATATTTCAAATTGAGCTTTATCAAATCAATTTTTAAAAAGTCTGTTTACAAACTTTAATTTGTCAACGAAGCACTTATTTATTTAAGCTTAACAAAGGCTTTTAAAAAATTACAAGAAAGTTTCGATTTACCATTCACCACAAAATAATAACAATTGTGTTTTTTTAACAATTTCAACAGTACTAAAAATTGGCCGATGTCAATGGGGTGACATAGAACAGTGATTCGAAATAATTAAATTAGCATTTCTAATTATTTGCAAATGCTTTTAATTTCGCTCAATAGCTAATAAAAAAATAATCCTTCATAGCATAGCTTACTACAAATTATTTTGTCATTATTTAGACAATAACTCCTATCAAACCAGTCGTTGTTTTTTTTTTAGTTTTTAAAAAGCGTTCTCTCAGTATTTTGAAAAATTTAATTCACACATAATTTAAAATGAATGTTTTAGTAAGAAGAAGTCATATGGCTTTGAAAACATTTTTTTTTATTTTAATCCAAAGCGCCCAAAAAAAAAGAATTCATTTTTTTTTTTTTTTAATTCATTGTCATTATTTTTCATTTTTCAATATGCCATACCTGCATAGTTGAATGATAAAATTCAGATTTTTTTTATTTCTCTGAAATTGAAGAATAAAGAATTGTTTTCTGTTTTAATTTTAAGAATGTCTTTAAAAAAAAAGCAATGTTAGCAAAAGCAAAAAAGGTCTTTTTAAAAAGTTGTTTTATTTTTTTAGCTGTTTAATTAGTAAATATTTCTTTTTAATTTCTTTTGAATCATCTTCTAAGCTAGTCTTTCTTTTTTTAATCACCCGTGGGTATCTACTGAAAATTTAATTAATTATTAATAATTAATAATTAATATTACAACTAGTTAATTGATCACTTCAGAGACGTATTGTTTTTTTTTTACTCTTAATGTTATCTAATTTCTTTTTTGTCATAATGACTTTACCGAAACAAACATTTACAAACATTGAGAAATACAGGCCTCTTAGCTTCCAGCCTCTCCACCATAGAGCCATACCTGAAAGGCACAGGTAAATATTTACCTTTTATCAAGGAAATTATTTGGCCAACACATTCTTAAAAGGATGATTAATTAAATTTTGTAATATGCAGTCATAAATCTGAAGTAAATTAATGTAATAATTTTGGAAACTTGTTGGAACTTGAATAAAAAAGCTTTTTATGAAGGCTCCAATAGTCTTCCTGTATCAGCAACACATTTAAACTTCATATAGAATCTATAATACACCCTTTTTCTTCATTTAAGATTGAAATAAATGATCAGTTTTTGATACCTATATAGAAATTGTTCACCTTTTTTTTTACATTTTTTTTGTCTTTTGATCTACATAATAAGGAATATAGAACATTTATTTTTTGCCATTGGAAAGACAAGAAATGTTTTGTCTGTTTTGTTTAAAAAAAAACAAAAAACTGGAAAGACTTGAATGTTTGTTGAGAAAGTGAGCTGATGTTACTATGAAAAGAAAATAGTGCGTTAAAATCATTTATCTTGTACTTATGTGATAAAATGTAAAATATTGTCTTTTGTCAAGGTTGACTGTGTGCTGATAACATTTTACTGTAATTACCTTTAATAGATCCTGTGGGTGGGTAGATAGTTATGGGAGAGATTTTTGCCAAGGTGCTCACTCATCTTCTCTTCTCTGAGTGATGAGATATTTTGTCAAGATATTTACAGCAGGGAGAAGTGGGTTTATGACTTTTACAAAAGTATTAGTTCAGAGTGAACAGCTTTAGCCTTAATTCAAACTTTGCAAATTGTCTTCTGTTACTGCAAACCTCCCAAAGCCTGAAATAATTGTTTGAGTAGAAGTGGAATGGATGAACAAATTGCCCCCCTTCCTCACTTTCTCTAACTGTTCACACTTTATGTAGAAATATCTGCTGCTATTTACACTTGACACATTGTTCTTGGAAATAATTGCTAGTTTTAGGAATAAGCCAAAGGATTCTAACATGTTCAGAGATGCAGGATTTTCATTTACCAGAATATGAGTAGAGTTGTATTTTATTACCACCCTTACCATACCTGGCATATGCCAGGGAAGTTTCAAATAAATACTAAGCCCAAGACCCAGGGAGCTTTTCCTCCAAGCAATACTTCTCTTTTGAGAGGAGGCTGGGTTCATTTTCTGGTGCCTGAGGCATCCAAAAAATAGGAAGTGCCAAGTGAGCTTGAGCAATTTTTCCATGACATTGCAGTATTGCCATTAAGCCAACTTTAAACCTTGACCTTGTGTCACATTCAGTAGCAACGTGAGCATGCTGAAAAACACCCTTACCATATATAATTCCTATCATCTTGATTGGATAATATTAGCTCTGATGAATACATTAGTTCTTAAACACTTAAGCCAAGAATGAATTGCATTAACTAGGTACTCAACAGTTTTAATTAGAATTGTCACTCTACAAATGCTTAAGAAGAGTTGCAAGCATAGTACTCATCAAAATTGATAGGATTATTTACATATGGTTCAGCATTTCTGCCTCAGGTTAGAATATCTGTGCATTTTACTTTGGATCAATATGTTGCATTCTGACATTTCTGTCTAGAATCAGAAGGTGGTGTCTGTACACTCTGGGAAAGATGTCCCATACACACTGGCTATCTGCTTATTTACCTGGCATCAGAGTTAACCATTAGCCAATGAGGATTTACTGAGGTCTAGTTAATGCTCCCTGTGCTGTAAGTGGAGCTATGATTCTCCTCATTTTAGATAGACGTTGCTCAGCCCTGGGGATTCCAACGCTTTCTGCAGTACCTTCCTCATTGCACTAAAGTGGTCAGGTTGGTGTAATACCAATGCCAGCATGACAGTGATCATGTCCTTGGCCCATATGCATAAGTATGCGTATAGCACTCCCCATGTTAAAATGTCTTTGTGTTGCATCCAGTCTTCGTGGGGAGGCTATCTGTTTATTCCCAAACAAAAATAGAATTCGGAAAAGCAAGAGAGAGGAAGAAAAAGAAATAGGGTAAGTAAAAAAGCTAGAGAAAAATGTAAAGAAGGCTCCAGAAAACATTTATTAGCAGTGGCATCTGCTAAAGGAGCCTCATGTAGGTCTTAACTGGGAGAGCTGTAATATTTATGCAAAATGCATTATAATAAAGTATTGATAATTATGGAAATAAAATAATTCTTTTTCTCTCTTATTTGTTATCAATTCATATATTGAACTATTGTATTGATGTTAATTCAATAAATATTGCCAAATCAAATTAAGAATAGTTAATATAAAAAAATAATCAACTGCTTCTCAACTGCATTCTCACACAACAATAGAAGTAGGAAAAAAAAGGGACCGAAGGAAAGGGAAAAAAGGAAGAAATAATGTAGAGGGTAGGTAAAAAAGTTTAGAGAAAAATGAAAAGAAAACCCAATGAAAGGAAAGGGAGGAAAGAATAAAGAAGAAAGAAAAACAATCTTACTGTCTTGAGTTTTAATATTCCTTTGAATTTTTTTTTAAAGTGAGTGAAGCTTTAATTAATATTTTCCTTCCTTTTTTTGAACAAAAGTTAGGCAGATGTTATTGAAAAAGATATTGAAAAATTGTAATCCAAATGGATGAAATATTATTACATCTTTTCTTTTTTCCTCCCTCTTATCCTTGCTCTTCCTCTTCCTCCTCCTCCTATATATATGTATATTTATATAAGTACTTTTAAAATGTCCGTTTTTAAAGCCCTAATAAAATTCTGTACCCCACCCACATATTATTAAAACTTTACTTAAAAAAATAACAATGTGTTGTATTAGAACAAAAATATATTGGCTAATTTCCATTGTTCATTGTATATTTTCATTTTTTGTATATTTTGTTCTTTCAACTGAAGTTATGACAGTATTTTTATTATGAATTAAAAAGTTTGTTTGTGTGTGTGTGTGTGTGTGTTAGACTGGCAAACAAACCTGCAGACTATAATAACACAATTTAAATCAAACATAGAAATTTTAAATTTTGAGATATTATTTTTCCAAATATTCTCATTTCAATTCTTGGATGTAAAAATTGAAATAATGAATGTATTTATGTGAACGAAACCACTTGTCACAGGCCATCGGTTTATCATAAATGAATTATTCAGTCAACTTAGATATTGATAATTAAATCGTTATAATAAATTGGTATTTGCTGATTTGTGCAGGGAATTTAACTTTAGAAACAATCTATAAAAATAACATGAGTGTCTAATAAATCTATTTCTGTGATCTGATCACACAATTGTGTTTGGTATGAAATTAATATTGAAAAAATTGGAAGAGAATTTTGTTTGTAGGTCATAACCGCATCTGCCACTTGTTTAAGATAGGAAGAAAAAAATGTTAATTTTAACACTGACCCACTTTTATCAAAGAAAACAGCCATATAGCCGAAATGTGTATAACACTGAACTTTCTATTTACATTATTTACAATCTGGACAAAGGGATTTCATCTGCTTAGTAAGATGGGGTGCTGAAAAGTTTTCAGCCCAATCTACTTCCCAAAATCTAACCATATATAATTATTTTTGAATCCTCAGGTTGAATGCATTTTATTAATCTATCATACAAAACAGATGGAATGTTTATATGTACCATAATTCTTTGGAATATAAGATGCATTGGTGTGTAAGTCCTATGCACCACATTTGAAAAATCTTTGTTCTACATTCATATTTGAAAGATTTTGAACAAAAATTCAGTCTGGTGCTTTAAAGAGTCTCTTGTCTTCTAAACACAAAACAGCAAAATAAGAAACTACCATAAATAATAAAAACAGCTTTAATGTTATTTAATTTTGTTCAAAACCTACAAAAAAGCAGTGTAAAATTATTTGTGGCTAAATACTGACAGGTACATTTAAACTTTGTCAAATATTTAGTACTGGACCATATTGACATTGAATATTTGTCGTTTCACTAGAATTATTGATGGAGGTGTGGGTAATAAGTTAATTAATACATTAGTTCTTATTTCTCATGAGTTATCCATCCACATGCTGAGTAAGTGTCAATTGTTTCCTTTGTCCAGTAGGAATCCTAGCAAAATCCTTTTGTTACATCCACTTGTTCTATTCCTTCTTCATTAAAGTTTTAATGAGTTTATTTTTAAAAACAAGAGGTTGAAGTTGACGTTAAACTGCCGTATAACTGCCAATTGTTTTTATAGCCCGTTAGGTTTTTCCTTCTAAGTTATGTGTGCTTATTTAAATATATTTATACATGGTGTAGAGATACAAAATGTGATTATCTCCCTTTGGTTAAGATTAAGTCACATGGGTCATGTGACAGCCGCTTAGTGACGTCAGTTCATGCACAGATGAAAGCAGTCAGTCATTTAGTTAGCCTCCTGGAGTCTTGCTTTTTTGGGTATAGGAAGACTAAAACTACTTCAGCCATTACAGAGGCAGCCCACTTGCCCATAGCACCATTTTCCCATTAGGAAATATGTCCTCACCATATATATAAACTACCTCCAGCTTATAGTCTTTGTGTTGAAAAATACCCATGACCTGCCATTTTCCCATTGGGAAATATGTCCTCACCAAAGACATAGAAAATAAATCTGGCCTGATCAAGTTGCCATTAGCTTCTCCAGAAATATAGAAGAACCCTCCAGCAGCTCAAATTCCTGTTGGGTATTATTATAAGTAAGACCCTTTATCTCTTTTACATTTTCATTCTGCTTGTTGTTGTTTACATGTGTTACAGTTTCTGTGTGTGCGGGTCAAGTGTAAATAATTTTATATAATTTGGTGTATGACTTAGCTGTTTAAAAACTTCTTTGAAAACAAGCCATATTTGTCATTCCTTTTCTTTTCATGTATTAAGGTGTTACTATAACATGGATATAATAATGCCCATAATGGAGGAAATGCAAAAAGGAAATATTCCTTTCTTGTATAGCATACCCATTGCATGACTTGTGTGTGTGTGTGTGTGTGTATATATATATATATATATATATATATATATATATATATATATAATATAAGTTAATTGGTAATGTGTATGGCTAATTCCAGGGAGGATATAAATCCCAAGAGCTCAATGTAATAACAGAGCAAGTGATAATTAATTAACAAATCGGAGACTTCAGAAAGCCATGGTAATATTTTATTTTGCAAAATTGAATTCTCAATTTTGCTTCATCAGACCTGGTGGTTTCAAAACAATGGATTCAAAAATTCTTCCAGGAATCAAATGAAAAACAAGATTAACAGAAGTTGTGTTTTAAGATAGTTCCACAAAGTAGAAAGGGAAGGAGAGAGGTCTGTAGGAGATGCAATAGTAGTAGTGCTGACCTCTTATTCGCCAGACAAGAGATGAGAGTGGAGATGATTTTTCAAGAAAGAAAAAGGAAAAAGAGGGGAAGAGTAGAAGGAAAAGGAGAGCTAGAGAACATACACAAATCCATATACCTACATACATACACATTCTTCTATATACACATATAAATACACATACACATATGTGCCTACATCCATACACATATTTGCATCAATCTCCACATATATTTTTTCACGTAAATGTGTTCACACATGTATATACAAACACATATATGCACACATACTCACATATTTATCTATTTCTATTCAAAAACATTTATGCACATATTTGATGAGGACATTCCTAAATAAATACTTCGATAAAATGTAAGATGTCCTCAAATACATTACTAACTATATAACTGTAAAGAGGCAGTTAAGAGTGTTTTCCATCAAGTGTACCCAGATATATGCACAACGTGTAATCTATGCACCTACCTATGAGGGAATACAACATATAACACATGAATACATACCTGTACCTATCTACACAGATGGGGACACACAATTTTGCATATACAAAAATCTATGTCCCAACACAGATATAAAGGCAAAGAAGTACAATAGTATGCTTGTGCATACACATACATAAAAAGAAAGATGTGTAAGCGATAGATGCCCAGGTCAGAGGGTCTTTTATAAAGTGAGATCACATGTGATGAAGGGAGGGGAGTTACGTGAAGAGAATAAGAGGTCATCAATACTACTATTGCATCTCATAGAGACATATACCTCTCTCCTTCCCTTGCTACTCTTTGGAACTATCTTAAAACACAACTTCTGTTAAATTTGGTTTTTCATTTTTTTGTTTGATTCCTGAAAGAATTTTTGAATCCTTTCATTGTTTTGAAACCAACAAGTCTGATGAAGCGAAATTGAATTCTCAATTTTGCAAAATAAAATATTACCATGGATTTCTGAAGTTTCCAATTTGTTAATTATATATATGATCATATTCATATCATTGGTAGTCAGTTTGGGGTAAGAAAGTATGTCTTATGCACTGAAAAATACAATATGACCTTTTGTTGTTTTCATTAGCATTCTAATCATTTAGTTGTTACTCATCTCAGAGAGTGCTTATGTTGAAGTTTAGTCTTATGTCTTGATAAAAAAAAGGATTATTTTCTTTGAAAAGAATATGTGACATCAAATACACCGAAACATTCACATGTGTTATTAAACTGGTAATGTGGTGCTTAGAGAGAGTAAATATTTTAGTCTTCTCTACTCTCTAAGGCCCACATTAGGCATTAATATATCCATGATACACTAAACACTTAATAAGATGAAAAGACTAAAATAACACAAAGAAATGAATTCCAAAAATGAGAAAAAATTCATGAAAACATTCCATATACAAAATTGGAGTAGACAAACATGCAGCATAGTAACATTCAGTGTATATATATATATATATATATATATATATATATATATATATATATATATATATATATATATATGTCAAAAAATTGTTCCATCCAGAGAAATTAAAGCAAACATAAAAAGGCAAGCAATATATGAAGGAAACAAGTAAAATGAAAGTTTTGCTTGTAACATTCTCAAGAAGGAGACATTACAGTTCTCTTCAGTTCTTCTTTAGAACACATTGGATGTGCATCATCCTCCATGGGAAGCCAAGCAGCAACTTTGTTTATGGGCAGCCAAGTAGCAATTAATTATATTCTCACCAATGAGCAGCCCCCAAGACTGTCAAAAGGAAAATTATTGCCTTCTGCATCTCTACACTGGCTTATTGGTTTGGTTAATGTTTTGAAAGCATTTGATAACTTTATTGATATTGACAATATTTAACATTTCATAAAAGCTTTTATTGTTTTTCTACAAATTTTGATGTAATTGTTTGAAAAATAAATCCAAAAATAACTTCTCCCTATTTCTTTTTAAAATATTTTTTTTTCTATTAAGATCAATGCTGACACAGGACAAAAGTTCCGATATGATAATCTCCAAGGGGATTCCATCAAAGTTTCAAATTCCTTTTTTCGTCTTGGACTTCGAAGAGGGGACGTTGTCTGCTTGTATGGTTCCAATACTCCTGAAATGCTGCCTATTTTTTGTGGAGTCACTGCCATTGGTGGAATCATTAGTCCTGCAATGACACAAATGTCTGTTGGTAACTACAAATCTTCCTTAATCTTAATCTTTCTTTCAGAAACATTTTGGTCTGATGAGCATCTTACTTTTTCCTTGGAAAAAAATTTATTTTTTTTTGGGCTTAGCCATTTTTTTTTCACTTGATTCTTCAACTGTTAAGTTTTTGCATTGTTCTGGTCATGGGAAAAGCAATGTAAAGTTATTTGTAGCTAAATACTGGCAGTGACAAGTACATTTAAACTGTGTCAAATATTTGGTATTGGACCTTATTGACATTAAATATTTGTCATTTCACTGGAATTGTTGATGGAGCTGTAGGTACTAAGATAGTTTTTAACATCATCAGTTCTTGGAGGAATATGGGAAATGTTTAGTAGAGATGAAGATGCATATTGATAAATGAATGAATAATGTCATTTGAAATTCTAAAATTACTAATTGTGATTTTTCTATCAGTGAAGCTAATATCTCCATCCTCAAGGTCTGAGATGCTTGTCTGAATGGTTTATGGATTAATATATGGATTCTAAGAAAGTACTTGGTTTAGGAACCGATCTCACTGGCAGTTAGTGATTTTACTCCTCTCTGAGTGTCCAATTGTTTTAGCCTTGTACCAGACAAGAGAGTGTATAAATTTACAAAGAAAAAGAACCAGACTAAAAAAAGAAAAAGTAAACTGTAGTACAGTAATATTTATTGTTCATCTTTCATTCAAATTTAAGATATAAATGAATATATATTTTTTCATAAAACTGTGTGAGGATGAGAGCACTGAAATATTTTGTTTTAATTTGGATTAACCAAAGAAAAAACTACTATATTAATTACTAGCTTAAAAGCCACACTCCGTGCATACTTTTAAACTGACTCCTGTAGAGGACTAATTGGGATTCCAGCCTAAGACTAAGGAGGCCCCTGGTCCAGCATAGGAAAAGGCAATGATAATTTTGAAAAAAAAAAATTGAATTTCTCAATTAACTCCATGGAACTTCAAAACCTCACTTTAACTCTGATTCAGGCTATAAGTTCAATTCAACTGTTTGTTGGGTTGAAATATACAAACATTTTTACATTTAATTGATAAAATAACTGGAGTGATGATAGTTTAAAAAAAAAAAGTTGTTATTATTGTGACAGCAGCTGCAGCAGTCATCATCATCATCATCATATCTGCAGCAATTATCATTATCATCATATCTGTAGCAGATGCTTACACACAGACACAGAGCTTTGCTTTTCTTCTTTCCTCTTCCTTTATAACAGAAATTCAACTTATCTAAATTGATTTAATCGTATATTCAAACAGCAAGATGACAGTGTAATAAATATGGATGAATTTTCTTTATCTGTTTGCTTTAGCATGACAGAAAAACTGGCAAAATTAACAAATGTTTTTTATATAATAATGTTTTATGAATTCTTAAACTTTTCAGTTGAACTAACCAACCAATTGAGAGATTGTCGGGCAAAATTTTTGATTACAACTCCTGAGTGTGTTATCCGAGCCAAAGCTGCTTCAGAAAAATGTGACAACATTCAGGTACAAGATTCTTTGTTTAATTTATCTAATGTTATTTAACTTTTCACTCTGCTAATCTGACATGTGGGCAACTTGTTGCTATGAAATCATTTTATAGAATTAAAAAAATTTGTGGAATAAAATTAATTTCTTTTTCGTTGACATCTTTTCATGAAAATATATTTCTAATTTATTTTATTAAGTCCTAAGTAAACTAAAATGCGACCTTGTGTCACTCTTGGGTTAAACTTCAGCTACTTGACAACGGGGGGAAAACATTGAAATCTTGTAATCTCCACACAAAGAACATTTTCTTATCTGAGATGAAGACACAAACATTTCATTGTAGATATGGAGTTCCATATTGTTCACTACTCTTAAGTTCAAAAAGTGTGACTCTGATGGAAAAAACCCATAAGGGACTTGGAATATTGTTGGGAATTTTTCCTGCTTGTGTGAATGTTTTTTCTTGGTAGTCTAAACAAAAACCCAAAGCTTGAAAATAGCTGTCCAACAGTTATTATTTCTGGTTGAAAAGAGTGAGTGCAAAATAGTAGCATTTTGCAAGGAAAAAATGTGATTTCCCAGTTAAAAAAGTTCTTGAGTATAGTAGTTGTTTTTGTTAGGAGATTTATCCACTAGTTCCCACAGGAGGAACAAGAAATCTGAGTGTGAAACTGCTAGGACAGGCCTTGTCTTTTGTAGCAGGTATTGAGTGTAGTTTTTCTTTGGTAGGTATCTCAGAGGGAGTTTTCTCTGCCAGTTCACAAGGGATGAACGAAAGATCTGAGACAAGCTGCCAGAACAGGGCTCATTTTCTGCAGCAAGGGTTGTGTGTAGCTCTTCAAGCTTGGTTTGAAGGTAGAAACTGCTGAAAGTGAAAAGTGGGAAAAAGCTGGCCTTGAATGTAGAGGCCGTTGAACAGAGGGTGGGTCTTGAATGTAGAGGCTGCTGAAAATGAGAAATGAAAAAGTGGTCGAAACAGCTTATTCAAGGCTTTTATGACCTCTAGGACTTCTGGTTGTAACCTGCTGATTATTTCCACTGCTGTTGCTGAAGGAAGCCCACACATACCACAATAGTCAATAAGTGAGATAGTTTCTATAATATGTAATGCATTATAAGTGACTACTTGGAGTCAATGGAAGAACCAATCAACAGAAAAAGTTCACACACTCGTGACAGGTGTCTTGAGTTTGAAATAATAGCAGATCTACATCAGTAACCATAAGAAAAAGGGCAAATGGATTGTTTAATCATTACTATGACTCCTGTCTTTTAGACTTAAATCTTCATTGTTGTGTTTCCTTTTGACTTTAACTATTACTCAGGTATAATACTTACCCTGGCTTTATAGAATTGTTTTCTTAAATTACACATAATGGAAGGGTTAGAAAATTCCCTGATATCTACATTGTAGATAAAAATAAACCAAGATACACCAATCTTGGTTTATTTTTATCTACAATGAAAGCATCTTTTGCTTTGTTAATATTTGAAAGTGTTTTCTAAATTAAATATACCATAATTACTTAGATAAATATTGCGGGGTCACTCACATCGTACTAGCAGGGACACAGGAATAAAAATATAGAAGGAAACAATACTAAAAGTATGTTAAATTGTAAAATAAAATCATATAATTTTATTTATTTTTGTGCACTGGTGTACGTGTGTATTTTAGTTATGTCTTAAGGTTGCTTTTAATAGAGGAAGAAAGTCATTTCATCTTATGACAAGCAAGAGTCAGCAAAGAGAATGAGTTTGGCTTTTTTTGGCATGAGGTATCCGTTGTCAAGCAAGAAAAGTTTTCAGTTGCATTCTTGGAGAACTTTATTTCTTTTAATTTAAACAAAGTTTTGATATTATTTGTTTTATTTTATTTGTGATATTTATTATTTTTCATTTTTATTTATTAACAATAATCTCCCTACAATATAACTGTTAAAAATCAAACATTTTAAAAGAAGGGTTCACAATATTTGTCATTTGTAATTTTTTAATATAATATTGTTAATATAAAATTGTAAGGAGGCGGCCATTGCAAAGATGCGGCTATGTCTTTGCGAGGTCATTTTTATGATTTCATTTTTTAATTGAAATTTAAATTCAAAATCAAAATATCTCTTCATAATTCATTGGGGTCCTTTCTCAGTTTTATCAGGGTAATTGGAGGTTAATGTCCCCCCTCCTCCTCTAGTAACATGCAACAGGTTGTAGTGGTAGTAATAGTAAGGAGTAATCACTGACCTTTGGGGAAAGGTGGGTTTGTTGAGGGCGGGGGTATATTGGCCTGCAAACAGATATTGAATGACAAAAGACAACAACAAACAAAACAAAGACTTGAGTAAAAAAAAATATATTGATAGGTTTATTTTTGTCAAAGAAAATACATCGACAAAAATAAAGTTCAGTGCACTAGGCAAAAAATATCTCTGCATGTTCATGTAGATGGTGAGAAGAGCGTTGTCCTGAGAAGGACAGTTTTGGTCGTAGCTGAAGTATGTTGTCCTGAGAAGGACAGTTTTGGTCGTAGCTAGAGTATGTTGCCCTGAGAAGGACAGTTTTGGTCGTAGCTGGAGTATGTTGCCCTGAGAAGGACAGTTTTGGTCGTAGCTGGAGTATGTTGCCCTGAGAAGGACAGTTTTGGTCGTAGCTGGAGTATGTTGCCCTGAGAAGGACAGTTTTGGTCGTAGCTGGAGTATGTTGCCCTGAGAAGGACAGTTTTGGTCGTAGCTGGAGTATGTTGCCCTGAGAAGGACAGTTTTGGTCGTAGCTGGAGTATGTTGCCCTGAGAAGGACAGTTTTGGTCGTAGCTGGAGTATGTTGCCCTGAGAAGGACAGTTTTGGTCGTAGCTGGAGTATGTTGCCCTGAGAAGGACAGTTTTGGTCGTAGCTAAAAGTATCGTTAGTAATACTATACTCTTTGCATAACCAACCAAACAAGAAACACCTAAACATCTTATAAATGTAAACAATGGACAAGATACCTATTTGCTATATTTGTATTTTATGTGACTATTACGTGCATTATTATTGGATACATTTAAGTAAAATATCAGTTTTATCAAAATCACGTTTATTTTAAATATTGTTGTACTTTTTTACTACAGTTGTAAATGGATATATAGTTTGGTCAACAGCATAGCCAAGGCCAGCAGTACATACGTTAATTTTATATCTCATGTATGATGTGATCCCCTTAAAATTAGCTTCAAAATTCCCATGATAACTGAGTATATATGGTACTTTGCAATTAATTGCAAATTGTTTCCTATAAATGTTTTTTCCTTTTGAATTTATAATTAAGTTTTCCATGTATAATATTAACATAGATTTTTAAAATTTACTTTATTTATTTACCCTGTATAACTTAATCCTTTTTCAAAATATTTACCTTAGAGCTTTACACATGTATCCCAGTGTCTATTTCATTTTTCCAAACCGCCTGCATAATCCTCATTGCAGATCACTATTTTGTTGTTTTATTCTCTTTAATTTCATCCATCATCTGAAATCTCTTTAAACTGTGAGTTTAACTTTGTGAAAATGTTGCAGGTCATCAACTCTGGGCTGTAGATAGGTTGGACAGAACTAAGTGGTGCGATATTTTGTTGAAAAATTGTATGAGATATGATGAATGAGGCCACACGATATTTGAAATGACAGGATATTTTCCAGATGGCGTGTGGAATTTCCAAATCTTCTCTTCCACTGTCAATCGCAGATTTCATTTTCCAAAGATGAAAGTCCAAATTTCAAGCAAAATTTCGCTGTAAATGCAATAGTCGCAAAATACACACTTGGTAGCTTTCACTGCCAAGTGAATAACAGGCCTGATGTGAAGTCGAAGTTTAGCACTAGTCGGTTGCTAAGCTTGTCTTTGTCCACCGTTATTCTCAGTGACGAGTTATATAGGCTTTCTCTTGCACTTATGCAAATTAGGCATATTAATTTGCCAGTGTCACTACAAGGCCAATGTCTGGTCATGCTAACACAGTAATCTCCACTGTGGGCCCTGTCAATGAATTCCATGGACTATCAGGAAAATATCCTATCATTTTGAATATCTTGAGGGCCCATTCATCATGTCTCATGCAATTTTTCAACAAAATATCATATCATCCCTAGTGAGTGGAGTTAATGATAGCAGCTCGGATTGAGGAATTGGAGAGCCGAGTTCAAATTCCAGTCAAGTTCATTACATTCAGTAATGTGCTAATACCCTTGGGAAAGGTGTTAATCCATCACTTCTCGCCCCATCTATGGATAAATAACAGGATAGATCAAGTTCTACAGCAACCAGTCTAGGGGAAAGAAATCTCTGAATTCCACTCTGTATGTAAGCCTGGTGAAGTACGTACTATACAGCTAAAGAAAGGATTGTTTGCATTGATGTGATGATCCCAACTATGGTTAATCATATCATCCAAGTCTATCAACCTATCAATAGTCCTGAGTTGAAGATCTGTAACATTTTCACAAAGCTAAACTCACCATTTAAGATTTTGGACAATGGATGAAACCATATAGAATTCAACAAAATGAGTGAAACTGATCTCAAAAGACAATTCTGCAGATGGTTTTGAAAAAAAATGTGCAGCTGTTTTGAGATATGTGAAATAACTGCTTCCTCTGTATGTTTGTGTGTGCATATGTGTGCATGTTTATATTTCTTGTTTTATAATATAGCTTAATTTTTTTTGCAGGAGGTGATTGTCTTGGGACAAGCTGAAGGGTGTCGTCCATTTTCAGATTTAATAAAAACAGCCAAACTCTCCTTTCCAGATATTTCTATTGACCCCAGCAAAGACATTGCTCTCATGCCATATTCTGCTGGAATATCTGGCAAGCCAAAAGCTGTCCTTCTCACTCATTATAATCTAATTTCAGCCATTGAAGCCCTGAGGTGAGAAAACATTTACAAAGTTTACATACTTCTTTTTGATTGCAAGGATGACTTTATCAGCAAAATTTATACAAACAATATTGACTTTTAAGTTTTAATTAAACATTGTGAATTTTTGGCCATGATGGTAATTTCGCTGCTAATATTCTTGATAATATTTCCAAAAAGGTAAAAAATTGACAATATTTAAAAATTTGTACCTCAAATATAAGCTTTTTCTTTTGCTTTGGGATAAAAACATGCAGGTCAAGTATCATAAAATTTTACAATAAATTTAAACTGTATTTGTGTTTTCAAACATTTTACATCATAAGCATCAGTCATCAACATTAAAATTGAATGAACAACAACATTATACATTGCTTTTTCCTTTTTGTATTTTCGTTCAACTTTTCTCTCTTTAATTCAGGCAACCTGATTTTATTCCATTTGAACCTGGTAAAGATCACAATGTCATGGTGTTTCCTGTCACTCACGCAACTGGCATTGTGATTGGTTTTGGTCTTTCTCTCATACAGGGTGCTACCATCATAACCCTAAACAGATTTGAGGCACGTTCCTATTTGCGGGCACTTCAAAAGTACAATGTATGAACTACTTTTTTTTTAAATTGTAACATCTTTTTCTTCAAATTATTTTAGAGTAATTTTAAAATATAATTTGTTTTTAAAGTTAATAAACTGGATTTCCAGTCATCAAGCTTGGATCTGGTTTTAGAGATGCAAGTTAATTTTTGACTTGCAAATTTAAAAAAAATAAAAATTAAGTAGAGTAAAACTGGAATTTTTGGTCTGGAGGAATTTTTGAGAATTGTTTCAGAGGAACCAAATAGCATCTTCCATGTAAGGAAATAAAGTTATATATATATATATATATATATATATATATATATATATATATATATATATATATATGAAAGATTTTATAAATGTTTGTAATTTGTAAAGCAAGAGTGAAAAGTTAATCTTTTTTGCAGTTTTGAATTCCTCGATTGAAAAAAAGCAACAAATTTTCTCATATTTAATTAGATTCTTAAGATCTTGCTCAATAAACTGAGTGACTGCACTTCACCAGATAAATAGAAAAGGAGAAATTGAGAAACTGAGGAGAAATTTCAATAAACTTAAATAATGCCCAAGGGTTAAATCCACTTTGGCAGGAAGGGAGACAAGCCTGCTACTGCCCTTGCTTAAAACACATCCATTAAACTGATGAGTAGGAGTCTAACATCTTCAGAAATTTGTCAGCCAAGGATGATAAGTTCAATTCTAGGTAGGGCCACAAAAGTCAGCATAGTTAACACTTATGATTAATAAGTTGATTGCTGAGTTTCTTTAAGGATGTAATCTTCAATACTCACTTTTTGTGTATAAATAAAGACAATTAATGTTTGCTTTCATAAACCAACTTAAATATTCAATATTACTTCCCAGTTTTCATAGTTACTTTTGCATATTAAATGGTTAAGAAAACTGAGTTAGATTTTTCTCTTTTTGGTTAAATTGTAGAAAGTTTCTGGTATGTTTAAAGGATTGAACAAATGTCATAATTTTACTATTATTTTAATCTTTGTCACTTGTTGAACTCTGATCAAAATTGATGCCAGAAAATGGTAACAAATACACTTTTTATTAAAAGCTTAAAATAATTTTTTCAAAGAAGAATTCTCTGTGGATGAGTTTCAATTTCTATGGTTGATTTTTTTGTAAAATTGGAAATGATTTTATCACTTTTTTTTTTGTCTTGGTATTTGTTGGTTTGAATGTGACAAAATCCCATTCATGCTACACTAGGTAAAGAATTAATTACTATGAAAGGGTTGTGAGTTTTACAATTTTAAAATACTTTGTCTGACAAAGTATAAAATTTCATTTTGTATGTGTATGAAGAGATAGCTATTAAGAGAAGAAAATGAAAAAAGCTTTGCTATAATCTCTAAATTCTTTTGTTTTGAAATAGGGCACTTTCACAATGACAACACCATCAATGCTCTGGCATTTGAATAACCATCCTTTACTGAAGGAAATGGATCTCTCTAGCCTTCAAACAGTCTTCAGCCAGAGTGCACCCCTTCAGCCTTGTCTTGTTGAACAATTAACAAAAAAATTGAACGTTCCTCATATTAGGCAAGGTAAAAATTTGTATTGCTAATATCCCTTGTGGAACTGTTACAATGTATTGTTTTAATTTAACAAAGTCATTTGAATATTCTAATACAAAAAAGCAGTTGTAAATCATAACTTAACCATTTATCATCTGTCTATATTTCTTAGATAAGGTATTGTAACTATTTATGCTATTTACATTGTTCGGACTGTTGTTTTCAACTTTATTGTTATATTCACAATGTTTTGACCGTTATATGTTCTGGCCTTCTTCAGGTGATATACACTGGAATTTGTTAATAAAAACAATTAGGGACCAAAAAGAATTCCTATTAAGGAAATATTTTTTGAAGTATATAAAACTTGAAGTTACTTTGAGTAAAAGCATTTTAATATTGTCTGTATATTGTTAGGGAGGTTTTTACAAAAATCTAATATCTATGAAAATTCCTAAATCTGAGGAATATTTAAAACATTGACTGCCAGCCAATAGATAACTCGGGGTTGGCAGTTTTTATTGACCTTGACTACAAGTTATCTTAAGCTTAGCATTTTCAGATATATTTTCATCTGGAGGCAGCAACAAGTTTGTTCACAGTGATACTTTTAGTGTGAAAACAATGTTAAGACTTCCATTGAAGCTATAAATGAACTCATGAAAAATGTTATCGACTAAATTGGCTAATATAAATTTGCTATTTGATGTCAGATTTTGTAATTGACCTCTTGTAGTCTATTTGTTAATAAGCAAATTTTGGCAAAGGTTAACATTTGCCCAAATTCCAATAATCTGCTGCATTTGATGTCAGTTGGAATTTACATAATCAGTAAAGTTAAAAGTGGACTATTAACTTGGTCAGTTTGTGGGTGCACCCTGCTATGGAGTAGTGAGGTATCCTCTATTTGTGGCCTTGTGTTTAGCTTAGTAAATAACAACTTTTAAGTTTAATTAAAATATTTACAAAATTGCTGCACTCTTTACAGAACTCTTGTTAACTCACCTAAGTTTTGCTTTCCACTTTTGTCATAATTTGTGATATTACATCTTCCTTTTAGTATTTGGCACTTGAATAACAAAAGGATCATATCACCAAAATTTTATTCATTAAAAGTCTATTCTTATACAAATTAGAATTGTTTGCAATCCTGAATATAAATTTCAGTATAAAACATATTAAATGTGTTCATATTTTCTATTTTAGGTTATGGATTGACAGAAGCCTGTGGAGTTGGTTTGGCCACACCCATCAATGACTGGAAAAGTGGATCTGTTGGGGTTCCTATCCCTGGTATGGAGGTTAAGGTGAGTGTCCTGTCATCTGGAGGTGAAGAATTCAAAACAATCTGAGTGAGTCAGCTCTTGTGGAAAAGCTCACCCAAAAATTTATTCTGTTATCCTCATTCTAGTTTTTATAGTCATACCATATACTTCTGGCATTCTTCAGGTATCTGTGAAATTTGGTAATGTTCTTTGAATTTTCAGTTGAATCTTGTATTCAGTCCACAGGGCGAGATGATTCTGTCATCCATGCTAAGGGGATATCTTGGGATTAAGTTAATTCTTCTGTTATATTATCCTTTGTTAATTTGTCCCTGTGATTTCACTTCTACTTGTTCCACTGAACCAAAGATTATGGATTCCACTGACCCAAGGATGTAACTCATAACCATCATATAAACTGCAACATTTATGTCCATGAGGCTATTACTCCATAAGAGACATTTTTTGAAACCTTAAACCTTTACGTTTGTTCTTTCCTGATCAAAGAATCCCATAAGGTGTTTGTTTCTATGCTAGGTCTACTGAGGCTGTTAGTACTTATTATGTGTGCTGATTCTTTCAATCACTTTCTTCTTCACTTCTGACTTCATTCTACAGGTTGAATATCGTTTATCTGAATTTCCAGATCCATAAACCTCCAAAATCTGAAAGTTTCTCAGGTGCTGGCATGACTTGCCACAAATGTAAAATTTCAGAACACCCTGGAAAGGTTTCTAGGTGATGTGCAGCTGTTGTGAGTGACCCTCATCTACCCTGGGTGGGGGTTCCCTAGCCCATCTACGTAGACTATTTTAGCACCAGTTTTTTGTTAGCAATTGTCACAATACCACCTTCATTTGTGGATTACTTACCATGTGTTTTGTGCTCAGTAAAGATATTAAAAATGTCAAAAGGTCCTGCATTTATATACTTTTTGTAAGTAGTGATCATTTTTTTTTTACAAGTACAGAAAGTACAAAACATTATTTTTATAGCGAAATCTTAATTTCACCATTTAAAAATCTGTGTGAACATTACGTGACTAGCATCATTACCTGCATCAGTATGTACACAAAATTTATTAAATTTTATATAAAACTACCTTCAGGGTATATATCTATACATCTGTGCTATGAAATGTAAAGGGATATTGTAGCTATGTTTACGTTCCATTCATTCCCAAGCTGCCTCATTTTATAGATGCTATATACAAATGAAATAGCCTGTATTCCAAAATCTGAAGAAATCTGAAAACCAAAGCATTTCGGATAGAGGACTCTCAACATTTATTACGTTTAGTGCCTGGAACTTCACTTCACACATAATCAGCCATACCTGACTTCATAGACTCTTCATGAAGTACAACTTTCTTATGTTCTTCAATCCTATCTTTAGAGAATAGCCAGTCTTACCTTTATGTTCTCTGTGCTACAACTACATGGAATGCTGTACATGCAGTTCTCGGTTATGCTCTCATTTGATAGAGACTTAGCTTTGGTCTGAAGAAGTGTGAAACTGATTTTGAACACTCTCCTGATGTTAGATGGACTGCAGATCCTCTAAATCCTTTCCAACATGTGTCTCTGATGTAAAGTAGACAGACCATTGGCTGTTTTCTGACATTTATCATCCAAACTTATAGCAATGCTCGATGCTAGTCTAGTGCCGTGCTTAAATTCATAAAGTCTAGGTACCATAGCGAAGCACTCCTCCAACAATTACCATGAAAGTATTTATAGAAAAGACATAGAGAGGCAACCTTATGGTAATGGGAATGACTGGAGCTGAGCTTCCAGATCAGGACCAATAATATTGCAGATTCTTCTTTAGATCTTACCAAAGAGCTCAAGGTAAATAGCAGAGGCAGTTGGCCATATGTGGCAGCAATATTCTTAGCATGGATGGCTGAATGGTAGATTTATAGATATGTAAGATAGATTCTGGAAAGAAAAATTGCCTCACCTGATATAGTGAACAGACTTTCTTAGCAGCTGACCTAGCAATGGATTCAGTATAGTCTTTCCACTTCATATAAGCAGAGAACGTGAGCGCAACAAGTCACATTGCTGGAGGATAGCATCAGCCATGCTAATGGGAGGCAGCAAGGAGCCTCTCAGATGATTAATAAAGAGTTTAGTTTTGGAGGCGTTAAAATTTACAAGCCATTTTTTGCCCCAGTTAACTACAGACTTGAGGTCGTTTTGGATGTCAGCTGCCATTTTGACCTTATCGAGGCAGGAGTAAATTGTTGTGTCATCAGCATAGATATCAATTTGAGAGCTGATCTCATCAGGAAGGTCATTAATGAAAATTAAAAATAGAGTAGGACAAAGGGGGACACCTGTGTTAATATGAAAGGATTAAGACAAGTGGCCATTCAGGATAACTCTCATTTCACGATTTGATAGGAAAGACTGGATCAGTTCAAAAAAGTGTCCAGAGTGTAAAGGCTTTCAAGATGTCCAATACAACAGCCTGGGATTCACCATTTTAATCTAGAGCATAATAAACTCTTTCTGCAAATATCATAAGTACATCAGCAGTTGACCTGGAGAAACGATTATGGAGTATCTCTTGTTGGTATGTGTCACCCCTAACAAGTTTGGCTTCTGTTTCGACAATGAATAATCCCTTTTTTTATAATCTCCTGTATAGATGGTGGCAAATAAAAATTGGATATCAACTAGAAAAGATTGGCTTACGGTATATGGATGTATTGAATCCCAGTGCAATTTATTAACACATCCCTAGGAAGGCCGGAGGCAGCAGAATAAACCGAGTGCATTAAATGAAGACCTTCGTTTGAAATTCCAAAAGTATTAACAAATCTGAAGAAAGTCAGAGGTTATAATGGCCAAAATATAATTGCAACAACCAAAATCAGATACTGTCCCAAGTAAATCGTAATGTCTAATTCTTTATCTCAGAAATTGTTCAATATTGTTTTTCAACTTTTCTCTTAAGAAAATAATATTATCCATAATGGTTGCATTATTGGAATGATAATTACTTGTAGCAGCAGAATGTCTTTTCTGATTAATATTTGCAAGAACCTTCTGTCATACTGTGGTTAACTTGTTTGTTGCCTATTGTTGCTTTCTATTTTAGGGAAGTTTAGTTTTGTGCTAAAGTTCACATTGCTATAAATATTTATTGATATTGATGTCTGTGTTTATAATTTTTTTTTATTTTTGGATCTTCAAGATTTGATAAATTGTCTAACGGATTTGTTGCGAGCTGGTGTATGCATTAAAAGATGAACATGTATGTCTCCGGAAATTCACACAACAAACATGGCAGACTTGGGATATGAGTCCACATAAATAAATATAAAGAAAGAACAAGAACCAATATATATGTACAAACAAATGATAATGTATTAACAATAAAGGGTTACAAGTGACAAAGACAACGATGTGTGTGTGTCAAATAAATGTGAAAACCTTTTGGGTCCAAAGTATGTGTGTCTATGTGAATGTGTGTATGTATTGTTCCTGTGTTTCCCAAAAGGGAAAGTGTTCTCCAAGAAAGATTTACATATTGATGTGTAAGCAAAAAAAGTAAGAAGAGAATGATGGAATTTTATCACAGAGTATTTATAGGCCTAGTAGCAGTTTTGAAAAGCAGGATGAAGTAACCCGACAGATTCAAAGTTGCATTATTGAGACTGTAAATAAAGGAAGCAATAAAAATTGAATGCTGTGTCTTTTCTTGTTATGGTTTTCAGGTTATTGATCCCAACACTCATGAAGAATTGTCAGCTGGAAAAGAAGGTGAAATCTGTTTGAGAGGACCAAGTGTGGCAATGAAGTTTTGGAAATCTTATAATGAGAATGAAAATTTGCTGTTGGGAGATGGTTGGATCAGAACAGGTCTCTTTTTCTCTCTCTCTCTCTCTCTCACTTACACATACACACACACACACACACACACAGATATAAAATGAACCACTCAACATCAATAAAGATTCACTTAGTTTAAGAACAAAGATTACATTCAATTTTGAAGCAGACATACTAAATATATTTTACAGTTATCTTACTTATTATAAAACGCAGATTGTGTGTGTGTGTGTCTGTCTGTACGTTTATATATTGGATCGGATTTCCTACATTTTTCAACCGATTTCAACAAAACTTCACAGGACTACATAAAATTACCTTGCGGTGGTTCTGACAGTGCCAAAAATTGGAAAAACACAATTGTTTTTGCACGAAATCCATTTGAAAACACGATAAAACACGATTTTGTCGCCAGAATTAAAGGGGGACAACTCATATCGAGTTATACTTATTATGAAAACCCAGGTTGTTTGTGTGTGTGTGTGTATGTTCGTTTATATATGGGATCAGATTTCCTACATTTTTCAACCGATTTCAACAAAACTTCACTTTTTTTTTTGGCAGGTAGTGTTTCTTATTGTCTTGCACACTTTTTCTTTATTTTTACATTCAGAATGCTTTAAAAATTCCATTTACAAGACAATTGTTTTTAATAAAATTCTATTCACTAGATAGACTCATAACGATTGAAAACAATGTTTTTGTTTGAGTTTGGGTTTGACCAATTCGTGAAAAAAAAAAAAAAAAAGAAAACTAATTAAGACATGCGTATCCATCAACCTTAAACAATAATCTTTGTCAATTTTATTTTACAGTCTTTATGATAGTCGATACTTGATCTATCTCTTACTGTTACATCCCTGGGCAACGCCGGGCTCTACTGCTAGTAATATTATAAAATTGGGAGCCTAATGAAAATGGTGAAACTATCCTAAAATCCAAATGGAGAAATGTTATCTACACCCACGGCTTATAAATGTAAAGTCATGTGATGAACAAAACTGAAAGATGCAGAGGAGTAAGAGATCAGAAATATTTAATATTATCTTCAAAGATTAAATTTATATATATATATATATATATATATATATATATATATATATATATATATATATATATATAGAATTCATATAAGTAAAGGTTTTGTCACTTTTTTTAAGGCTACCTTCAGCATCCCAACTCCAGAGTTTCATAGATGGATCCATCTATCCACTCATCGGGGGGTATCTGCAATTGACTACTTATACTTCTCAATTTTTCTTTTTTATATGTACTTATCATTGGTACAAGTTTTTTTATAGTGTGTGTAAGCATGTGTACATTTGCACCCATTTGCTCATCTGTGCGGATGTGCATTTGCACGTGCACCCATCTTCACGTACATGTAGAGTATCATAATTTTTTCTTTTTTCTTTTTTTCCTTTACTTTTTATGTTTACTCATTAGCTTTTTCCTCTTTTCTTTCAATTTTAGCCATTTGTTGCTATTCGATTTCTGGTTATTTTTCAATTTTTGAGTGTTCTAGTCTTTTCATTAGTCAGGAAAATTGTATTTCATTTTTTTTATATAAATAAGTGATTTTAATGCTTAAATGGTAAAGTAGATATTTGTCTTCACTTGGCTATTCTTTCATTTTCTTATTTCATTTTGTAGAATCTTAAGTTGAGTGCTATTAAAATATTAATTGTAGGAGATTAGGTTTATAATTAAATTTTTATTGTTTAAATTTGGGTGTATATGCCTCTATTTATATGCTTATAGATAAAAAAGTTCAAAGTATTTATCTTCTAACTTATCTGACAAGTGGAAATGTATATCTTGAAGTCCTTTTGAACTTTTATTTATCTATCAACCATTGTTAGTCTATTTTATTATTATCAAATTTACAAAGATTTACTTGCTTTTACATGTTTATATGACTAACATGATTCACGTTGTGTCTCATCAATTCAGATTTGGTTGAAATAAAATCCAGTTATCTGATGATGCACTTTGACCAGTGAAACATGTTAAAATAAAATTTTTCAAATTGTCTTATTCCATCAGATTCTCATCCAAATTTGAATTACATATATATATATATATATATATATATATATATATATATATATATATAGCTCTATCTATTTATCTATCTATCTATCTGTCTCTTTATATATATATATATATATATATATATATAAATAATCAGAGCTATAGCAGAGACAAATGTTTTGGGGGTGCAAAAAGTTAGAATTTAGCTTTAAGTTATCACAGGCCACCAACATTATTAGCAGTAAGAACATGTAAAATTTCCAGTACCTCCTTGCTTTAATAGCTTTTTTCTTTGTATTTTGTTAAAATAAAACCCTCCTATGACTATGACACAATAAATAAATATATATATATATATATATATATATATATATATATGCACAGAGGATGCAGCAGAAATACCTCCCACATAATGGTAAAACATTAGTTAGATGAAGACACTATTGCCAGTAATATCTTACCATTATGTGGAAGTTATTTCTTGGAGATATTTATTCCACACTGTGTGTGTGTGTATATATATATATATATATAGTAGGGTTTTAACTTTTTTTAAATAATTGATTTCCTGTATCATAATTTGATGAATTTTTGTTAAAAAATAATGAAAAGGGGTTTAATTTTGTTTATTTTTAAAGAAATATCACCCACAACATGAAATCTTTAAAATCCCATGTAAGTATAGTAGCAATATGATTTTATGGAACCTTCTAGAACATATTTTTGTTTATTTGTAAGGTTGTATGTTATGCTATAGCTATGAACTCTTAAATATTAATCATATTAGCAAATGGGAAAAATAGAGCTTCTGAAATATTTTGATTTTTTTTTTCTTTTTTTACCCTTATTGCATATATGGTAAAATCAAATTTTCGGTTTGGAGGTGACCTTTTTCAAGAACTAAAACAAATTGTGATTTTTCATTACTTTTGAACAAAAGTTCATCAATTTATGACACAGGAAGACAGGGTTACAAAAAACTCATAACCCTAATATATATATATATATATATATATATATATATATATGTGTGTGTGCTTAAACTTCTCTTATTATTATAATTCTGTTGTATTTAGTTTTGTTTTTAATTATGAAAAGCAACAATGTCTTTGCTGTAGTAAAATGTCAACATAGATGCCTGAAGAATATTCAAAATCTGTTGAAACCCCAAATCTTTTTTCTTATCTCTGAATTGTTTTCCCATTGCTATGTATAAAAAGTTATTCCAACTGAAGGTAGATACACATCTTCCATCACTAATTTCTGCCAGTCAGTAATCTGGTTCAATCAGTGTTCCAACATAATAAGAATTTCAGATTTTCTGGGTTGCCACACTGACCTGCCACTAACTGTTTCATGGTGCTAGCTGCTGTGTCAGCTGTTTTTGAGCACTTTTAAACCCTGTTAATGTACTTATACATATCCTTTGTATATTTCTATTATAAGCTGATGATCTGTCTATGTTTCAGAGATGAGATATTATGTACACTATTTGCATTATTCAGACTATTGTCCTCATCTTTGTCGCCATATTTATTACAACATTTTGTCTGTTGTATGCTCCGGCCATCTTCAGGTGGTTGGAATGTTGAACTGAATCCTTTATTTCGCTCACTGGGGTAGACTGTTCTAGTTCCACGTGCCATGTTTAATAGATGTCAGTTATCTCCTGTTAATTCCCCTCTCTAAGTTCTCCACTGCCTTGAGGACACATGGCACAGTGGATAAAGGCGTTGGTTAGATCCGCTGACAGGACCCAAAGAGTGTGAGTTCAATACCCGGTTAAGGTAATGTAGAACTTGGAGAGGGAAATTAACAGGAGATAACTGATAACTGACATCCATTAAACATGGCACGTGGAACTAGAACAGTCTACCCCAGTGAGCGAAATAAAGGGTTCAGTTTGACATTCCAACCACCTGAAGAAGGCCGGAGCGTACAACGGCCGAAACGTTGTAATAATTATGGTGACAAAGATGAGGACAATAGTCCAAATAATGTAAATAAAGCTGATGATGTTTAGCTGCAGTCCTGGTTTCAATGAATACAAGAAGTGTTTCATTAAAATAGAACTTTTAAAAAAATATTGATAGTGTCATGTTTACATCTAAAGTTTATGACATAAAGAAATAAGAGAAAAACTGTTTTTAATCTACCAAAATCACTTATCTGTCACTCTAGCAGTTCCAATGATAGTGTATTAATGATAGTCAATCCGTAGAAGGTTTCTTACATTAGAAGAAGGTTTAAAAATGTTATGTACAACCTACATATGAAGGTACAAATCTATGCACCTATCTAATACAGGCATTGAGATTTTACAAGTAAAAATCTTTGCTTCTTTGAATTGCAGGTGACATTGGCATGTGCAGTGCAGAAGGTCACTATACAATTGTTGACAAAATAAAGTCTGTCATCAAGTACAAAGGCTGTCAGGTGAGGCTTTTCATATTTCCACAAGTGAAAATGTCTTTGCTGCTGGGATTTTAAAACTCTATAACATCAAGAAATGCCATTCATTATAAATTGGATATGTATAACACTTTCAGCATTGTTACGTTTTCCTGAAACACATTGACTCTACTTTACAAATTACCTTTTGACCCAAAGATCAATTTAATGATTCTATTTAAATGGGGGAAAAACAAATAATAAATAAATACACTGTTCAGTGACAACAAGTTTTTTGTCTAGAATATGCCAACCCATGACTTCTCTATATGCCATGTCCCCTCAGGATGTAGGCAATCATGGCTCTCCACAACTTCCTGTCCCTTATAGCTTTTAATAAATTTTGTCTTTCTGTTATTTCTCCTAAACATTATTCCATCATTAAGCTCACTAAATAGGTTATGCATTGTTTTCCTCTGTCCCTTTTTCCTTCAATCTATCCTGAAGATAGTATCAGATTCTCCAAGCCTTCTTTCCTCATTATGTGTCATAGAAACCTCAAATGTCTCTTCCTGACATTAAGTATAAGTTTCCTTTTTGTTTTCATTTTTTCTAAAACTTTGCCATTGCTCACATGTTTGGTTCATGGTATTCTCAGCATCCTTCTGTAGAACTACATTTCTGTTGCTTCAAGCCTCTTCTTCATCTTTGAGGAGATTGTACAGCACTCACTGCCATACAGGTGGACAGATATCACGTAACAGTTTCATACTCTTTTACTTGTTTCTAGTGAAGTTTTTCTATTTTTTATTATTCTGCTTAACTTTTGGAATGCTTCCCATTATCGCAATCCGCCTTCAGATTTCAGTGTCACTCTTTCCGTCCTCTGTTAAAACACTTCCCAGATATTTAAATTTCCACACTTGTTTGATTTTGGTATCTTCAATTTGCCCTCATCCTTTTGCTAACAACCACCCAACAACTCATGACACACACGCACACTAAAACTGGTGCATTGTATAATTAGATATGACATGTTATATCCCCCGTGATCAGTGGTGTGCCGAGGTCTTGGTCCAAGTGAGAGGGACAAGAACTTGACTCAGCACCCTCTACCAGAACCAGTGGCCAACAAGCTGGGATAGATCAAACACATTTTTTTAGAAATTCAAATACAAATACTTCTCACGATTATTCACACAATATAATTGGAAATACAAATATAAATACAAGTAATTTTCTCCCAGATTCCAAAAATACAAAAAAAAAATCTTCTGAAACTAGGCAAAATTTCAAAATATAAATGCTTTTTCCCACAAATACAAATGCTCTGAAAAAGTATTTAAATACAATTCAAATACATTTTTATTTGATCCACGGCTACTAACAAGCACTGTGCATTGACAAAACCTGAATTCAAAGATGTTAAGACTAGAGCAATTCATTTCATCTATTTGAATTTGTAAAGCTGCAAGAGTCACGGTGGAGTAATGGATAGCAGCTCGGATTGAGGAATTGGAGAGCTGAGTTTGAATTCCAGTCAAGTTCATTACATTCCCTTACGTGTTAATACCCTTGGTATGAATCCTCTTCTTCTCTGTCCCCAACCCCCAGCTATGGGTAAATAGCAGGACAGACTGGGTTCTATAGACTTGGATGGCAACTTTGTAGAAAGAAATGGCAACCTACTGTGGGGAAAAAAATCTGCCTCGTCAGTCATGTATCAAAAGTTACCTGAACGCCTAAGCATGACTGAAAGTCGCAACATATGACCAGGCTTGGGGGTCACAAATTTGTCAATTAACACCATCCACAGTTATATGTCCAAATTCTTCCTTTTTGATGCTTAATAAATTGAAATTACTGAAATGTTCCTGACCTATTTTGATTCAGAGATAGATTTTTATTCATTTTAGTTTGCTGAAAGTGTGCTCACAGGATGCCACAGAGACAGCAATGCTATTTGTAAATTGGGAAAGACATCATCGCCATAAGATATTGTGAAGATGAAAACCTTGATTGGAGTTTTTGATTTAACAAAGGCACTGTCTTTTCTGTTTTGTATAAAGCTTCAGCTGTCTGTAATTTTACGACCAAGTTCTATTCCATCAAAATCATCATCATATGCTGCAGCAGCTACTATGCATTTTTCTACTATGTCTTAATTCGAGTCAATGAGGCTTTCAATATCCAAGAGGAACCCAAATTGCTCATGTAACTGACTCAATGTTGTAAACCAACCTTTCAGTTCTATATTCAACCTGACCAGTAATGCCTTCCGTTTCTTCTCTCACATTTAGAGGCACATCTTTCATCTCCTCTCCAGCCATTCTCTTTTTACGATGCACCCTTCTCTGTTGACCAATATCAATACCTCATTCTAAGCAATTTTCCTTGCCTTTTTCAATTGAATTTTTACAGAGAGAATCCTGTTTATTCCAAACAGATTGTTGCAGACTTTGAATGTCAGCTTTAGGGCACTGAAGTCTCTTCTGTACTCAGTCGCTGAAAGTCAGGATGTCTTCCCAGAATGGCAGCATAGATAGAAAGCTGAAAGTATGCATTATGTGCAGCAAGCATCTGGCATCGCTTTTTCTGTCAACTGATAATAAAGTGTCACTTGCTATATTCTCCAACAAATTAGCTATGTCATCCAGCTTTGTTTTTACAACATGAAGAGCATTGCACCTAGAATTCCATCTTGTATCAAGGGGCTACTTTACAGCCGTCCCTGCTGTCTCCTTCAGTTTCTCTCACCACATTGTTGAGCTGGAACAAAAATTGTACAATGAATCAAGAACTCCAAAATATGATATAAGCAAACACGTGCTCTGATGCTGCATACACTACTACGAGGTTCAAACAATGCTTGTCTCACAATTCACAGATTGCTTTTGGGTTTCTCTGTAATATGCATTTTTGGACACCGGACATCTTCCCAGACATTGTTGCAACATTGTCATAGTCTGTCCATGACAGTCATTCGTGAAGATTATCTCGTTCCAATTTTGAGCCAGTGTTGAACATAATCCCATAATATCTGCTTCTTTTAACTCTCTGTAACATAGACTGACATACTTCTTTGCCCAGTAACTCAATAAACTCATTCTGTATCTTTCCGACAAAAATGTTGCAGAATGTGGATGCAACTTGACATAATCCGAGTGACGCTGCAACGGAGAGCCGTACTTGCTAAGTCACTTAATGAGTGCAAGAAAATTACTGATATTTATTCCTTGATACAATGACTTCTCAGTGTCCACAAAATGCCAGATGTTGAGTCACCAAAAACTTGATACAATCCACAAAATGCCTGAGCAGATCCTTCCACAATTGCTTCTGTGTCTTCAGATGCTTCATTATTACTCTGCCAATCATAGAACATTCTGATATGCCTCTCTCAAAGTCTTTCCATGCAAGAAATGATGCACAGTGATGAATTCCCTGTTCAGTTTCTGGTATTCTTTTGTTGCATTTTACCATTTTCAAAATTCACAGCTTTTTCAAGAATACTGTGCTTTTGTTGAGTAGTTTTGTTATGTAGAGTCGTAGACTGATGCTGTAGTTTTCTTTAAAAACCAGTAGTTCATGAAGCAGCAGTTGACAACCAAACGTTTTGTGCTAGTTTCACTTCTCATCACTTCTTCAATACGTCAGCTCTCAATAAGTTCCTGACCTTTTGTAATTTTCAAAGGGCAATCTTTGTTCTAAAAAGCCTTAGCAACCATCTTCGCCATTTGTATGCATAGGCCATCAGATATTTGTGGTTTATTGCAATTTACCAACAAATTTAATCAATTGACATCTTTCTTGGTTAATACTGTATATTTAGTTTCATCATATTGTGAACAAAATGAAGATAAAGGCTGATCGAAAGCATCCAATAAAACCGTTTGCTTTGCATCAGAATTTATCCTAACTTAACAGTCGAATGCAATAAAGCATTTTTCCCTATATTCTCTGCAAGAGTACATGGTTTTCCATAATAAACTTCAAAGATCTTCATTGAGTTTCTTGGCATAGTATAATCTTATAATAATATTGCAGCAAAGGGTACAAAAAAAAAAACCTGCAAAGCTTTTGCCATCACTAACAACAACCAAAATTGTGCCATAAAAGTTGTGAATCTTTTCACATCAAAACCCTAAATAGAAATATCCAACATATTAGTTATAATAAAATCATTATGTCTAAATCTTTTATATATTCATTGAAATGCTATGATCTACCAATTGAGGCAAGGAGAAAAAATTACCATTATCATCATTTTACAAAGAAACAACTGGGTTTACCATCCCAGGAATATATCTTAAAACATTAATGAATTAGTTTTCAATCTGGAAACCAATGGAAAACAGAATTGAACAACACTTTTTGTTGTTTCTTTAACATATTTCTGTCTGTACTACGCATGATCAAAGAACTACCGAGCAATGAATGTTTTTATAGAAATATTTTGACAAGAATTAACAAGAAAAAATTGATGTCTAGAATGTGAAAGGTTTATCTGTTTTGCCCCTGAAACTAGTGACAAAGCAGTTTTTCATAACTGGGATTGCAGTGCAAATAAAATGATTCACCCCTTTTCCTCTATTTGTAAAATTAGAAAAATATACTAAAGAATTAAATTTTTGGATATGACTCCAAAATTTACCATCATTACAATTGTCTACTTGTGGATTTACCATTCCCTAAAATAAAATCTAACATAAAACTAACTTCATCCAAATTTAACAAAGTTCCTTGGATTAGTAAATATTTTCAATTTAAAAACTCAGTCCAGGTAACAAAAGAAACAATTTGTTAAAAAGCAGGAAATGTAATGTTTTTGTCATAAACGTTGAAAACAAATTTTTCAAGATTTTGAATGGTTTGCTTGTGTAGGTCTCCCCTGAAGAAATTGAAGACTTGTTATTAAATCACCCTGCAGTATTAGATGCTGCTGTGATTGGGCTGCCTGATGCTGAGGCTGGAGAAGTTCCAACTGCTCTCGTTGTGAAACAGAGAAATGTTGATGCAAAAGAACTTCAAAACTTTGTAAGCGGTAAGCAATTTCCATTATTTGCTAACACCTTTTTAAAGATTCTTATTTTATAACTTGGATATCAATCCATCAACCAAAGATGAAAAAGGTATTTATATCTCTTTATATCTCGTTCCAGAAAATTCTGCTTCCTTCAAACAGCTAAGAGGTGGCATCAAATTCCATCCAGAAATTCCCAGACTTCCAGATGGTTCCATATCCAGAAGAATGATTAGAGACTGGTTTCTAGAATTTCATCCTCTCCATGCCAGACGGGCCAACTAAATGACCTTTCACTCTTAAACCATAGACCATTTCTGTCACATAAAAGAAAATTGATCTCACCTTTTTTCTTGATATATGTTTTATAACTACTTTTAGTGCATCACTGACCTCCATTCCCTTTGATGACAATGGAGTTCAGTTGACAGCCAAAGTGCTATAATGGTTCATTCATTTTTCATGGTCAACCTTTAAGCTTATATTGGCTGGGTATTTAAATTTAACTATTAAAGAAAAATAAGTTTTTATAGGATTTGCTATTTCCTATTATTGTAAATCTAAAATAAGTTTAATTTAAAAGAATCTTTAAAGTACATCATTGTCGTTTAATAGCGAATAAGTTAATCTTGGAGTTTGTTACTTCTGAATTGAGAGCTCAATACTGTTGGCGTTGTGCGATATTTAATAAACAATTCAACTGAATCTTTATGGTTTATAGTAGAATACAGACATTGCTATTATGTTCAGAATCTTAAAATAGTTTATAAATAACTCAACATTTAACAATATGAACTTTATTTTGTTGCAAAAATGTATTTAATTGATGTGGATTGAATAATGATAGCAACAGTCTTAATGGCAGTGAACAACATTTTGAATGTTAACTGCACTTATTTAAATTATAGAAAGTATCTGAAATTTTTAGATCTTTTGCTCCTCTGATTGGCGTACGGAAGAAGGGGATACAATTACTGCAACTTTTTCTATTATAATGGAAGCTGGCCAGAATTATATGAAGAGAAAACAGAAATATTGATTCATAAAACCCAACAACTAATTATTTTATATTTGACTAATAAATTCTCAAATGATTGTCTTATCAAGATTCTTTGATGTCTTGTTTTGAAATAAGACTTTTAATTATGTCTGATTTCCAAAAATTTGAAAAAAAAAAAAAAAAACTTTTTCTTTGATTTCTTTATTCTCCAAATTCACTGCTAATAATTTTCAAATCATCCAAAACCAATTTGATGTTTGTACATAATTTAAACTAAAAATACCTTAAACAAGTTTTGTAATGAAACTCCTATCAATACTAGAAAGAGAAATGACAGTGGACTTGAAAGTTTAATTTTTGGAAAAACTGTTAAAAAAAAAAGGTTTTATAAATTTCAATCGACAGTAAAACAAACTGTTGTTAATGAATGCCAAATATTTCCTGTATGGAAGCAGCTAATTTCACTATTTTACCTTATATAAAGCTAATTTGATAAATAATCAAGACTTTGATTTACCTATTGGACTTTTACACTTTACATTTTTTTTTTTTTTTTTTTAATACTAACTTAATAATTTTGGTTACATTCATTGACGTTTTAGTAACTGAAAACATTTTTTCAAATTTTGGTTTGAAAAAAAGTAAACAATATTTAGCCTAAAAGAAATTGTACTAATTTTGGTAAAAAAATTCTTTATTTGCTTCTCACCTTCCTCTCAACATATCCCTTGATTGGCTTTCTTAATAAATCATTTGTAAAAAAAAAAAAAATTTTCAAAATGTACTGGAAATAGGTTGAAGAATTTCGATGTTAGGCAAATTTATTTCTTTGTGGCAGAAACAAGTTGCATTCTATGAATGCTTCAAAATTTTCTTTTCTGTTGAAATTTGTAAATAAAATATATTTTTAACTTGTTGCATTTTTCTTTATTTTTATAGGTTTTAAAATGCACAATAAATGTGAAAACTGGGCTTAAAATTGCACATGCTTTAGTTAGTTGAAATATCTGAAGTCTTCATTCAGTTAGCATATTTTGTGCCACTGTGATCACCACTCACTTTCATTTCACAACGGTGGTTCAGAGTGACATTTAAAGCAGAATAGTGCAATGACTTAGAACTATAAGTAATTTTTTTAAGATAATCTGGTTTTGTAAATGTTTCATTGTGTATAAATTTGTGAATCATTTATATGCTTCATGACCTTTACATGTTAACCATAAAATTACATTGAGCATTTTAAGATTCAATTGAAGAAAATGATTTGACTATTGTAGCATCTCCTTACCACCAAAGCGAATTAGAACAAGACTGATAACCTTTTACTGCTATTGGGCAAAATAAGTTTTATTTTAAATTATTTAATGACAACTAGACTTGTTCTGGGCCTTTTGAGAAAGTGGATGTTTTTTGGCCAAACTGCATCTTGTGATTTGATATTTTTCTGTTGAATACTTTTAATAAATTTAGGACTGGGAGAATTTTGCTTTCACTGATTTCATTTAGAAATTATCTTGAATCATTTTCAGATTTGATTGGCCAAATTTTGGGCATTGAACTTAGCATGTTCATGTAGTTGAAAATAAAATATTCCAGGAGTTAAATGATTTACAATACACTTGTTCACTTAGAATGATTGAATTAAAAACAAAACAATAGAGACTTTTTAAAAGTGCAGATTTTATTTACAATATATTTACATCACAACTTAATGTTTCAAATATAACCAATTGGATGTTTGTAAATTTATTTTTCTGCATCTAAATGTAAAGAGACTTGTGTCTATGCAAAAAATGTGTGCATAAAAAGTATTATGCTTAAATTGTCTAAAAGAAATTGTTGACAATGAATCAAAGTATCTTCTAAGATCTATAATTTTTCTTCTATTAATTTATGTTGTATACACAACCTTTTTTATTGTTTTTGCTGCTAATGGTGGAAGGAGGTTGTAACGAACTGTTCTCCAAATGGACACCACTTATTTTCTGTGAATATATTTGCATCCAATTGTTTTTTTTATAGTGATTCACCAACTGAAACACCCGACTTCAACATGTCAGCTGCTAACATTTATATACCTTGGCTTTCAGCCAAACAGAAGTAGCAGGAGGTGATAGAGTAAACTTCTTTAACCTAGCCAACAATTTAATAGTTTTAAACAGGAGGTAAAATAGTTATCTATGCTATTTTTGTATTGTAAAAATATTATAAAATTTGATAGTTCCTTAAATTTGGCCTTGTACCAAACTTGGCACATTTCAACAAATATTTTCAACATGGAAGTATTAATGTTGAATTTACAAAGGTTTATATTTAGCTCTGAGCTAACTTCATACTTCAGCGAAAATGTCATTTTTTTTTCTTTACCCACCAAGATATTTAACATATTTAAGTGAACTAAAAATGATTCCTCATCTAAGTTTAAGTTTTCAACTTTTGAAGGGAAATGAAAGAAATTTCTTCTGAATATTGTAGTCATTGATATTATCTAACATTTTTCATTTCATTGTATTTTTAAATTATACAAATTCATTTTGGGCTATGGCATTATTTAAGGCTAAGCTGTAGTGCAAGTCAAGACCAGTCATTGGAAAAAAAAAAACTGTTCCCAGAAGTATGACAAGATTTGAAATAGGCCTCCATGGCCTATTTCAAATCTTGTCATACTTCTGGGAACAGTTTTTTTTTTTTTTTTTAGTTTTGGTTGGTGTTTGAGGTTGTTTGCTGCTGTAGTCAGATTAAGAAATTCAAAGAAAACAACAGAGATTAAGGACATAATTAATTTGACTTGAAATTTTAGTGTATTTTTTCTTTACTAAGTTCTGATTACAATTAATATACAATTTGGTGGAGTTTTGGATCCATCACTTCCCATCTTGTTAAAAGGGTCTACAAAAATGTTATCTGCATTTTAATCATTGAATGAAACAAAAAAACTATAACAGAACCATAAATTCAGGACCAAAAATATGACATGAAAAAAATAAACAGAAAAGTAACTTTTTTTTATTTTGTTTTATTTAAAAATAAAGTAATTATTTTTATGTTGACTTATTTTCTTATAAATATACTCTTTAAAATTATTGTAGTGGAAAAACAATTGACTCTTAAAAATTTGTGGATTAGCATCACAGTTAGGGTTAACATTTGTACACCTTGCTTACAAGATCTAAAAATTTGGGATTAAACTTATTGAATTTTATTAACTTTACATAAATTTTTTTCATTAATTTTATCATATAAAATATATTTGCTCCTATTTTATGTTTTTTAACAGTAAACTGAAATTCAACATATTTTCTTTTAGAAAGAAAAACAAGTTACTCCTAAAAAATTAAATTTTATCATCAATATATTTGTTATAACAATATCAAAGAAAAATATTAAATTAACTTTATGTAACAAATAATAGAATTTTTAAATAAATTCTGCAGCGTAAAAACAGAATGGAAGAAAAGTTTGTTAAAATGATGCAACAAAACCTGATTGAAATTCTCTTTCTTGGCAGAAACTTTTTAACATTTGTAAAAAGACAGACTAGAAAAAACAGGATTAATAAATTATTTCTTTACATCAAGTAAAATTAAAAGGTTACATTTCTATATAAGAATCGTGGTAAGAATTCAACATATTGTTTTTATTTGTTAAAAACAAATACAGATTAGACAATATAAATCAAGTTGATCATTAACGGATTTGATTTTATGAATAAAAATTTAATAGAGAAGAATTTAACTTCCAAGTAACAAAATCAAGTTTCCTAAATTACATTTTATTAGTGAATTTTGCACAAAAAAAAATTATTTTTTTTACAATAAACATAAAATGATATAGAAACTCTTAAGGAAACCAAATAAATTTTATAATTCCTTCCATTAAATAAGCTAAAGTTATTCCAAAATTAAAAGCAAAATTTGAATTCCATAAGCTGACTACAGCAGCAAACTGAAACTAAAAATCTTCTCTCTCAGTAGAAAGAATTTGGAGATAGGCCTCCAGTTTTAGGCAAGAGGTGCACAATGACTTGGACTGCCTTTAAAAATACCATATTTTGAGCTGAATAGACAAAACTGACTTGGGGGGTGGGGTGAGAAAAGGAACAATTTGAAAGAAAGCCAAATTCACTTCCTGTTCCAATCAGCTTGTCTTTTAGTTTCATTTTTTCTAACTTCTTTTTTTGTCTTAAAATTTTAAATATTCAGTCTAGAAAATGGCTTAAAATCATTTAAACTGGGAAAGGATTTAATTAATAAAATTATTTACGAGAAAGATTAATCAGGGAAGTTCATCATAATTCTCTTTTGAATTCATCTTTTTTTTTTACATTGTATTTTCTTTCCTTAAGAATTACATGTAGTCATCTTGTTAGGAGGACACAAACAATGATTTATACTTTTTCATTTTGCTAATCAAAAATTGTTTATTTGAAGAGTTATTTATTTTTTGGTACCACATTTTGGTCAATCCATTTTACAGCTTTCTTAAAGTCTACAATCAGTATAGAAAGAGAAATATATATATATATATATATAATGAAATGGATTAAGTCTGACTATTGTTTAATATATTTTCAGTTTATATGTTATTTTTATAGATACAATTTATTTAAGTAAATGCTCTGTTTTTAATTAGACAGTATTAATTACATTTACAGGCCTGAATGTTTGAGAAATTTCATAGAAAATATACATTCTCTGACAGGAATCAAACTTGTATTCCTATATGGAAACCGTCATTTAACTTGATGTGCTGTACCATTTAGCTACAGAGAAGCATTTCATGAACAGATATGATCGATCGAGAAAAATCATTGAAGGTTGTGTGTTTATAAACAGCAAATTGGACTTTACTAACCAGACATTTCTTGAGGACATATGGCACAGTGGATAAAGATGTTGGTTAGATCCAGTGACAGGACCCAAATCGTGTAAGTTCAATACTCGGTTAAGGCAGTGGAGAACTTTCAGAGGGAAATTAACAGGAGATAACTGATATCCATTAAACATGGCACATGGAACTAGAACAGTCTACCCCATCAAGTGAAATAAAGGGTTCAGTTTGACATTCCAACCACCTGAAGAAGGTTGGAGCATACAACAGCCAAAACGTTGTAATAAATATGGTGACAAAGATGAGGACAATAGTCTGAATAATGTAAATAATGTACATAATACCTCATTTCAGAAATATAGACAGATAATGTAAATAGTGTAAATAATTTGTATATTTTGCTATAATTTAGACTGTCAAGTAAATGCAATATTATAGTGATAGAGAGTGTGAGTAAAGGATGACTTTTTTTCATGCTTGGTTTAATACTGTGTGTTTGGATGAAAGAAAGATCTGGCTAAAAACAGAACAGTCAACATAAGACTAGCATCTTCCTCAATCCTCTTTGGTAGCCATTGTGCCCATGCTCTATCAAAATAAATATTGTTATCTTATTTCAGTTGCTTTTTATCAAAACGTCAAGATTTCATTCTTCTAATTTTTAAACAGTATTGGACTGGAAATAAAGACTAAGCCTCTAGCAAGACTTGAACTTGCGTCACTTATTCTTAGGAGTATGTATTACTATGACAACACCCCATATTGATTAGCTGACAAAAACTAACCAGCAGACTAGAAGTATTAGATGTAATAGTGTTTGAATTAATTATATGAAGATTGATATGAGAATTGTAATAAATAGAAATAAGATAAAAAGAAACAGAAACTAATTGATAATGCTTTCTCGAACAAATACAACACTATTAAATATTGCTTTAATTTTCTAAGTTTTCACTATTGAGCTCTTATGGATTATATGTCTGAAGAAGGCTGTAGAATGGATCAGCTGAAATGATCAACAAAAAGACTCCCTTCCAAACAATTCTTAGAATGATTCTTTTCCCAAATGACACAAGGGATTGCTTACAAATCTACCAAAGTTACTTTTTTCTCATTTTTTACACTTGTCTAATGAAAATTTTTTAAAAACTAATGAATTGCTTAATTTTAACTTTTCAAATTTACAATAAATACCATTTTAAAACTGGCTTCTTTTTAAACAAACAACAGTTTAATTTAGATAAAAAAAGAAATTTTAATCATATGCTCACAAACATACAAACACACACATTCAAGCCGATTCTTGATCTTCTTTCATTATTTGTTCAGTAAGGCGTTTTCTTTCTTCTGCTTGTCTCAGCTTCCGAAGTACTAAACTTTCATAGTCTCTCTCCTGGGCAGTCATTGGTTGGTACATATAAGTCTGTTGGCCAAACTGAGTTGGAGTCTATAAAACAAAATGAATAAAAGTGCCAAGAATATAACATTTTTTTTTCACGTTTACATTTTCTTCTCAATCAATTCTAACAAAATCCAATCTATATATTTTATCAAACTATATAAGATGGGCATCATATTCCAAAAGGGAGGGGTGGACTTCACCCACTTAAAAAGTTCCAAGGGGTAAAAGGAGTAATAAAAGCTTTTAGTTTCAGTTCTTCTCCCTCTGTTCAGCCTCTTTTCATTGTTCACAAGTTTTTTTTTTTTACTTACATTTCATAACTTCTTCCCATCTCTCACTTTGCTCAATAACGTTATCATGGAATAAGGAACAGATGTGCAGTTGTTGACTCTCTCTCTCTCTCTCTCTATATATATATATATATATATATATATATATATGTGTGTGTGTGTTTCAGATATAACTAAAATATATACCTGTCAAAGGACAATATAAATAAAGACAAAAGGAAAACTTTTTTTCTCCTCTGATGAACTTTATCAAGGCAAATGAAAGGTTTTTATTTTGCAACAAGAATTTATAAACAAAAGGAAAAATGTTAGTGTTTGAAATTTTTTTTAATTTAACAAATGCTCGTGAATATTCATAAGTTTAACTGAAAAGTCAAGGAAAATTATGGAATATGCTAAGTGACATAATTTAATGTCTATTAAATGAAAGGGAATAAATGATGTTGAGTTTTTTTATTGCAATTAATATTTAAATTATTTTAGTTTGGGATTTATATATATATATATATATATATATATATATATTATAGATATATATAATACATAAATTAATGCATTGTTTTTTTTTCCCCGGTGAACTGACATCTGACTGTTCAAAGACTGTTTCAAAAGTAACTAGTAACGATTTCTCTTGAAAATGGACAAATTTTGGCATCATGGTGTTATCAAGTACCTGCAGAAAATGCCCCCAAGAACATTCATGATGATATGGTTGCTACATCAGGGAATGATGCTCTTGTGCAAAAGTGGTCAGATGAATTTAGGAGAGGAAGGGAGAATCTGGAAGATGACCCAAGGTCTGGACAGCCTTCACCTGCCACCACCAAGGAAAACATTGAATGTGTTCACCACATGGCCACAGATGACTATAAATCAAATAACCAATGCTATTAGCATATTCTCTGAGACAGTTGTGAATATTTTGCAGAATGAACTTGGCATTATGAAGGTTTCTGAAGTGTGTTGACCACAATGGTGACTATGTTGAAAAATAAACCTCATTTGGTAACATTCCATGAGAGTATCTTGGTCAGTCTATGACCCTTGTATGTGTGTATGTAATACTGATCATAGGCAGTGTCAAATAACACTTTGATCCTAGGCAGGACACTGTCCCATGACTATATAATCCTTTCATTTTGATGGGTACTATGCTAGTATTGATTAAAAACTAATTTTCTTATATCCAATTATGCTATAACAAATATTTATATAACATTATCTTCTTAATTTTAAAATTTAGGTTATTATATTTACACAGTAAATAGAAATTGACTCCTTAAAATGCCTTTCTCCAGATGAGAAATTTTAATCTAATAATGAAAGCCAAAAACTGCATATGACATTTTGTCATGTACTCTTTTATTCCAAATACAAGGGCTGCTTGGAAAAATTAACTGGTGGGAATTATTCAATTTATAAAATAAACGAGGAAATTTTGATTTCTGGGACAAAATAATTGTTCAGTATGAAAAAACTTCCAGGAATTTTCCAGGACTATGTTAAGATGTTTCAAGAACTGAAACTCACACACACAAAATGAATGGTCATCAATTTCAAAAATACAAACTTTGTGATTTATGTTTTAATTATTTACCTGATGAGATATTCAAAGAAAAGTTACAACTGGTTCCAATAATTCATGTCACATGGATCAGTTGAAAGCAGTGAAGAATTCTAAGTGTTGAAGGCTAAAAACACAACTGAATGCAGGTCTGGCTATGTTACATATTTTGTGTACCATTCTATACAGTTTGGAGTTCTACTACACTTTAAAATGTTGAATTACACACTTGAATTCTTACTGCTACACATTTCAGTTATCTAGATGACTCGTGGTTTGTGAATGTCACAAAAATTCTTGATTGCTGTACATTTCCTGTGATGTAATGGTTTTAATGAATAGAACTAGAAATAGAAATATTCACAAAACGACAACCCATTTTAGCCAGCCCTACTACTATATTTGTGAAGTTCTGAATCTGCCCAGCTTTCTCCACATAGGTGTCAACTGACTTCAGCAAATGTTGTGTGCAATTTTCAAGCTTTGGTCTTCAGTTCTTTAATTTCCATAAGCATGGATTTCCATTTTTGTCCAGCTGCTTCTTCCTGCCTTTTTACTTCTCAGCCTCAAGGTATTGGTTGTTTGCTGTTCTGGCATTGGAAGCACTGCAGGGAAGAGTCTTAGTCATGGGAACATTCCCAGCACCTCCAACTGTAGCCAAATAGTCCACGATAATGCACTGTGAGACCAGAGTCTGCTGTTTCATATTGTCAGTGAAAATTTCCTTATTAACTGAGAAACCTCTCTCTACTGAGATCTGTCCATGAGAAGAGTACCAGCATTCTGAGAACATTTCACCGTTTTTTATATTCTATGTTGCTAGACAAAGAAGAGAAGAACAAAGTGTCCAGACGGTTGACATGGTTGCTGAAATTCTTGAAAGCAATATTTTCAACAGTCTTTTCCTCAAACTCTTTGTACGGACTGATGATGTCATCATAATCACACTTGCTGACTTGTTTTCTGTCCATCATGAGGGAAAGACATCTTTTTAGATGGTCTTTTGTGGCAAATTTTTTTTCACAAATGGGTCCAGGGTTCAGCCATGCAAGTAACCTTACAAGAGGGTTTTTAAGGGGAGACTTTGCCAGAAGTTTCTCAATGAGGGTGATGAACATTGTCTTTGTAGCTTTTTTTATGCATGTTTGGATTTGACAAAATTTTTAAATTCATTCAGTTTGGAAAATATAATTATCCTTTTAGTGTACTCTTCCTTTACAAATCTTCTTAACAGTTTCATGATCATGTTTAAAAGATTATCTGCAAAGAATAGAAGCAATAGCTTATCGCTCTGATATTTTATCAGAAATGGTTCAATGTCTTTCCAAACAGACACAAAAATCTGCAGTTTCACTGGAAATAAAACATTATTCACGCTTGACAGCACTGCAGGGATGGACTTGGTCTGGGGACATTTTTCCCTTTTTTTTAATTCACAAATTTGATGACATTTGGCCAAATATCTAGGTGCCGTTTACATGTTTGTACATTTTCTAGCCAAAAGTAAAGGGACGGGGTTGCCAAGCAACAAAAGCCAAAGAAGTTCTAATATATTTCATCGTTTTTTTCCCCACTTACAACAAAAGCTAGAGTTACAGGTCATTATTAGATTACAAACTTTAAAAATAACATTCTTCTTATTTTTTCAAAGATACATTTTCTATCCTATGCTAAAACACATCAAACCCCACATTTTCTATTCTATCATCCTTCCCATCTACATTTTCTTTGAGTCAAATTTGAGTCTCAAACTTGTTACTTTTAGCAAAAATTTAAACAAACCTAGTTTACACATAGATACACATTGAAACGGGACGTGTAAAGTATCTATTTTTTTCGGCATGGACTCACCCATCGCTGACCAGTGATCAAAAGGACTTTTTACTTTTGAAATTGACATGTGAATAACATTTCTTCAATTGCTCAAATTTTTAAAAATGCTAATAAATTTTTAGAGATTCTACTAAAATGTATTTTATTACTGTAAAATAATTTATTATTTTCCTTTCAATTACGAATTCAATGAGTGTAAATTAATTTTTCTTTGATGGGAGATTTTTACTCGTCTCTGACACCTTTTATCTTTGCTTTTCCTCTTTTCTTGTTGAGTGAGGGTAGCAGCTAGGAGTAGACATGTCTTCATATTCTTTCTTTCTCATCACCTAGACGATAAAATACAGAAGTAAATATGAGGACATGAACTTGTTCCAAAGCATCGTTTGCAATAATTGCCAAATATTACTGACTAGCAGTAGAGCCCGACGTTGCCCGGGGATGTAACAGTAAGAGATAGATCAAGTATCGACCATCATAAAGACTGAAAAATAAAATTGACAAAGATTATTGTTTAAGGTTGACGGACACGCATGTCTTAATTAGTTTTTTTTTTTTTTTTTTTACGAATTGGTCAAACCCAAATTCAGACAAAAACATTTTTTTACAATCGTTATGAGTCTATCGATTGGTGAATAGAATTTTATTATAAACAATTGTCTTGTAAATGGAATTTTTAAAGCATTCTGAATGTAAAAATAAAGAAAAAAATGTGCAAGACAATAAGAAACACTACCTGCCAAAAAAAAAGTGAAGTTTTGTTGAAATTGGTTGAAAAATTTAGGTAGCCTTTCTCTGTAATCTTTTACAATTTATGATTTTTACTTATTGAATACAGTAAAAAAAAATGCATATTTTGCTTGTGGTGATTCATAATTAGAATTCTGATTTGAATATATTTTCCACTCGTTGTTTCTAATACAAAAAATATTAACTTTATTAGGATTTATTAATTTATTACAAGTACTGTGTTCTTTCCTTAATAATTATCATCTTCAAATATTGTTGTTTTTTTTTGTCTATCAGATTTCTTACGTCGGCATTTTTAAATTATTTCTTAATACTTTCTTTTAAATATTGAATTAATTTCAAATAGAACCAATGCCTTATTGATCTGCCTTGTAACAAATTGCAAAGGGAATTGTAAAAACGGCCCTAAAGCATGGGGAATTATCTTTCCCTAAAGATAAAGAATTATCCGATTTTTCGATTCGTACAATCAGTAGAGATCGTTAGATTATTGTTTAGGTTGTCGGACACGCATGTCTTAGTTTTTTTTTTTTTACGAATTGGTCAAACCCAAATTCAAACAAAAACATTGTTTTCAATCGTTATGATGAGTCCCCCAATTGAATAGA